CATACATATATATATACATACATATATATATATACATATATATATATATAACGTAATATCTATATGTACGATCTAAATAAAACCAGCCAATATGGACAGCTAGTAGCGGCCAAGCAGTGTGATATTAATGAAAAGTATTGTAAATACTTGCAACCACGATTCATCCTTTGTAAACCGTCAATAGCTATTTATAAAAGGCTGTCTGCTGCGATTATGTGTACATATACGATAATTATCATCATAGTAATACTGCTGCTATAATGAGCAAATAACAGACTAAAAATTGTCGTTCAAGAAGCGGAATCCTGCGAGTATATGCACAAATGCGATGATTATCCCCATTGCAGGACTGTTTCTTCGGCGTTGATGGAATTGTTCACACATAGCAGAAAATACGCAATACCTATACTTGAGTCAACACAGTTAGTTATGTATCTCTTGGTACCTAGAAGACCCTATCATCAGACACGAATTGTTTTCGGATGGATATGTAGACATACAAACACGATGAATGCAGCAGCTCAAGTATAGCAGGGCTATCTCACAATATTGAATACATGCCACCATCGGTGTATTGTAATTTACCCGAATTCCTTGGCTAATCCACGCAGGCAGTCTCTGTCCTCGATCCTTTGGAACAGTTGTTGATACACCTCTTCCTTCATATTGTGTTATCAATAGGCAATTGGTGTAGCTAGCAGTCAATCTACTTTACATTGGCATGAAGCACTTTCGACGTCGACTCAGATACCTATGTGTAACCGCCCTTTTGATAGTTATCACGGCTGTAATCATAGGCATTGCTATGTATCTCGATTTAGTGACCTAACAACCATATCTATACACAATAAACGCTTATATTTATGTATTGGCCTCACTGCCATCACCTCTTGCATACTCTCTATGATGTGCTTAAATTGCTATAGTGCTTTCTTCCGTGTACGCGCAAAAACCCTAAACCCTGAAAAAGTATTCCCGCTTTTTGGCGCGACAACGGAGCGGATCTGTTTTAAATATTCACGGCGCCTCTGGATTTGGGTCTCTGCTAAACTTTAAAATTTACGATTTCCGCTACGACAAACCTGATTTCTGCTCGCGACCCTAATCCAGAGGGCCATGAAATATTCTGTATCGAAGCAGAAGAATCAGACGACAATTCTGAAGCATTTGATTGGACATGCAACTGCGTTACGATCGGCTGAGTGACTAATCCGTTAAAGGAGTCCGATTGAAAAGTGTAACGTAATCCCCTATTATTCGATACAAGTAAACTTTTAAACGTTTATATCCTCCAAAAGACTGGGCACAAAAACCTATTCTTCTAACTGTTTGGAGTTATTATCGCTAGGAGCACCGACACATATATCAAATGCATCCGTACATATCAATAGGACCATCGCGTTATAACGTTGAAAATAAACGTATACTACCTCAAAGCTATTACGTTTTAACGTGCAAAGCTCGTGACTTTTTTTTTGAGTTTCATTGGGTGTAGTATATGTATTTATTTAGTCAAGATATAAGACTTGCGGCCGTGGAGTGGTGGATTCGAGTTGCGTGTATATACCGCATACATATAAATAAGCAGATAGGTATATGATATCAACAGTATGTAACATATTTATTATATAGATGTATTGTAGTGTGTAGTGTATAGTTGGCAACAAAGATACATACCAACCTTATACACCAGCCACGGTCCGCATTCAGACGCATTACACTTCACACAACACCAACATATACTTCACTGGATCACAATGGGACAGTTGTTTTCCAACGATCATGTGGTGCCTGAGCACTATCAGGGGGTTGATCACGTGCGTAAAACAGTATATCCCGCTGCCACAGATCTCACACGATGGTCGCTGGAGGTCAAGGAGGGGCGACAAGTGTGGAAGTACTTGGCCGAGAATGCTGGAGACGATGAGAAGGTATGGAATGAAGTTTCAGTCTTTGCTTGTTTGTATGTTCGTGTGAACACGTTAGTGAGGTTCAATATCGTGTGTTTTGCGGTGTTGAACTGTTGAAAGGCGCGGAATCATCTCACGTATGCCAGTATTCGATAGAGGATACCTGAACTATAGGAAGGTAATAGAGGGTTCCTTCTTGCCCTTGTAGCCGAGTGTGTGTGTGTTCCTGAGACTATATAGCAAGTCTCTTGCTATTATCTGAATATGTTGATGCATGATACTTTCATATATCATGCAATATGGCCCGAGGAGGTGAAAATAAGACCCGAACACGAAAGTAATTTGCATAGCACACGGATAGATGATGAGATATAGAATATATGTGCGGGTCTATTGTCAAACTGTGGGTCTTTTTGACGTATCAAACGTTGGTTCCTATACATAACTATGCTGGATGCCTTACGCATTTAACATACAGTATGTAGGGATGTCAAGCCTTGTTATTCAGCGGGTCTCCGCGGGTTGAGTGTAGTGTGTTTATAGTAGTAGTAGATCGTAAATGTGAACATCCCAGAGAGTCTGAGCCGATCCGAAGAAGGACGTAAACAATGGAATACATAGGCAGACCTACTGTACATCAAGATTAAGGCAAATGTGGGTGTGTATTTGTTTGTTTTTGAGATTATTTCAAATGTGGGTGTGTATTTGTTTGTATGTAAGATAATGACAAATGTTGGTGTTTATTTGTTTGTATGTGGGTGCATTGTCTGGTACTGAAAACCTCGCGAGTTCAGTATCCTCAGGGGTCACGCACGGCGCTATTAGTATGTGTATATAGTGTTGATATGAACGACGAAAACGGGCAGTGAGCGGGTGTCTGGCTTAGGTTCACCGAACAACCAATCACATACAAACGAGGTCTGTAGTAGTCTGTTCAACATTGAGCCAACTTGTTTTCGAGTGGTTTTGAGACTGTACCGCTTTTGCCACTCTGATACCGCTTTTGCCAACCGTGTATGATATAGTCTAACTTCCCATAAAAACATTCATTTCATGTATGTAGTTTTATGGGTTTGTTACAACTCTAATACCGCTTACTTCAGCCCCGAATACATGTATATGTTAGTCTCACTCACCACAGAAACATTGAACTCACCTTTTTAATCACCCATTCATACCTCACAGCAAAATCCGACCGCGTCAAAATACCATGTTGGCCTGGATATCAGTGCTGATGTGCCTACATTATCAACACCCAAAACTGTAGAGGATGCTTTGTTCAACGCCGTCTCTTTCTTTGGTCCGTGCATTTACAACGTTTTATGTTTCTATGTTAATATATATATATATATATATATATATATATATATATATATATATATATATATTATATATATACTACTACTACTATTAGTTACGTTAGTTTAGTTAGTTA